GATGATTGATGATTGATTATTGATGACGATGACGATGACGATGATGGTGATGATGATGATGATGATGTTGATGTTGATGTTGATGACGATGATGATGTTGATAATGATGATGATGATGGTGATGGTGATGATGGTGATGATGATGATGAGGAGGAGGAGGAGGAGGATGGTGATGGTCATGGTGATGGTGATGGTGATGGTGATGAAGATGAAGATGAAGATGAAGATGAGGATGATGCAGATGATGATGATGAGGATGATGAGGATGATGATGATGATGATTGATCATTGATGATTGATGATGATGATGCGGATGCTGATGCTGATGATGAATGCTGATGATGATTGATGGTTGATTATCGATGATGATGACGATGATGGTGATGATGATGTTGATGTTGATGACGATGATGATGTTGATAATGATGATGATGATGGTGATGGTGATGATGATGATGATGATGCTGATGATGCGGGTGATGCTGATGATGCTGCTGATGCTGATGCTGAGGGTGGTGATGATGATGATGATGATGATGATGATGCTGCTGATGATGATGATGATGATGATGATGATGCTGACACTGATGATCATGAGGAGAAGCAGAAGGAGGAGGAAAAGAAGCAGGGCCCGGGAGGGGCACCCCCATAAGTGGGGTGCCGGGCCAAAGCGCCCCCTAGCGGAGTCGTGGGCCGCTGGGCTCTCGGGGCACACGCCCCCGCACCTGGGATGGCCCCCGAAGCGGGGTCCTCTTCCCAGGGGGCCCCCAGCCACGAAGTCTCCCACGGGAGCCTGGCTTCCCAGCCAGGTGTCCCCCGTGGGAGTCGTGTGCCAGGGGGTCCGTCTCCCCCCCGTCGCGTCGTCGCCGTCGCTGTCGCGTCTGTCGTGTCGTGGCGGGCCCCTTGGGTGGGTGGTGGGGTTTGGTGTTGCCTGGCCCTGCCCGTTCTGTCGGTGGTCGGGTGCTTCCGGCTGGCAAAACGGGGCGGGGGAGCTGGCTTGCCATTCCGATGCTGCCCGGTTGCGGGGGGCCCGCCCGCGCCGTGGGCGCCCCGCGGCCCAGCCGCGGCGGCGGCGCGCGCGGCGCCCGGCGTCGGCGGCCCCGCTCCAGGGACCAACCGCTGCAGCTCCGAAAGAGGACGAGAAGCAGGAGGTGGAGGAGGAGGAAGAGGATGATGCTGATGAGGAGGGAGGAGGAAGAGGATGGTAAGAAGGAGGAGGAGGAGGCAGAGGGGGACGAGGAGGAGGACGAGGAGGAGGAGGAGGAGGAGGAGGAGGAGGAGGCTGAGGAAGAGGAGGAGGACCATTCTTCGTTGGGCCACAGACGGTGCATGGGTCCACGGGGATGGCGAGGGGCCCGCCCCACGAAATTCCGCCGCGCCAGAAGGCCTTGGGGCCGCGTCGCCAGGGCGTCGGGTAGCGACGTGGCCCCGCCGACGGGCGCCGCACACTCGTGGCGCGGAGGCGGGGCGGCGCCGCGGCCCGACGCCGCCCCGCGCAGTGGCCACCCCGATGGCCCGACAGGGAAGATCACTGGAGCAGTGCGGCGGCGGGGGCTTCGCGGGGCCCAGGCAGCGTCGATGTGGGACCTCGAGGGAGGAAACCCGCCACAGCAACGGCAGCGAGGAGTGGGGCGCAGCGCCGACGAGGCCAACCACTTCGCAACGGAAGCAGGCAACAGGGCCCTGGCATCCTGAATACGGCAGTTGCAGTTTCTTTCGGGGCCGCTGAGTCAGCGCGCGCAGGATCCTGCCGAGGAATTGGGCTCCACGCCCGCGCGCTTCGCCTGGCAGGCAGACGCGCTGGGGCCGCGGCGACGTGCGAGCTTCGATATTGGGCCACCCCGGCGCGCGCGCGATGGCCGAGGGGTGGGCGCGTTAGACCTGCATGCGCCAGCCGCGATCTTTGTTTGTAATGTTTGACACTTCGCGTATCCCCACCATTCTCCTGTGCGCTCAGGTGCGTAATACAGGCCGTTGCATGGACGCTTAGTTCTGACGGCGCGCGGCTGTACCTTTTGCGCTCGCGATCAAAGAAGTACCCCCACCATCCCATCCAGAAGCGATGCCCATGAGAAGTGACACGGGGAGAGAAGAGACACGCATAGTCAATTCGCGAGGGCGGCTGGGGAAGCTCCGTGGCCATCGCGAGCCTTCGTGGGATGATCTTGGGCGCTCTTGGGTGCCCATGGAAGGCCTATTGAGGCTATATTGGAGACCGTCGATCAAAATGGGAGGTCCATGCGTAGCCCCCTCAAGAGCGGGATCGGTTGAGAGTCGAATGTCACTTTTGTTCTGCATCGCGATTCGGCGGGAGGGCAGGGTGCCTTCGTTGGACCTTTGTTTCAATGGCCGTGCCATTCGTAGCAATTTTGGATGAAACGCCAAATAAGCATCGGCTCAGTTTGGGGCTTGTCAAGCGATCCAGCCATGGCTGAGCCAGTCACTCCGGGCAGCGGCAGCCTCTTTCCGCCAGCTGAGGACGGAGTTGCAGCCAGGGTCGAAGGCGGATCCAGGGGATCAGGGATGGATGGCGGCCACAGTGGGCGGGGAACGGGCGCTGCGGGGGCAGCTGCCGGAGGGCATCCAGGAGGGGGATCCTCGTAGACATGGTTTCGCCTTGCATCGTGGCCCGGCCCTGCTCGGACACGGCTCTGGTGGGTGGGAGGGAATTCACCTCTGCTGCTGCCCTTGGGGCCTGCAGGGGGCAGAGAAAGAGGGGAGGCCCATCCATCCGTGCACGTCGGCCTTTGGCCAGCGGCGTGCAGGGTGGAAGTCTCCTCGAGCCCACGGCGGTCAGTGCCTTGGGCCTCAACGTGGACCAGCACTCATCCTTCATGGAAGGGGACTGTGCCGAGGTCTTCCAGGTCACCGAGCACGACCTGATGCAAGCACTCGACGTGAGGGTGGTGGATCGCGTTTATCACGGGAGCCACTTCGAGCCGATCTTCGTCGGCTGGCCAAGTTCGCCGGCTACGAACCCCCGCGTTTGGGCGGCCCCCTGCCCACGGGCGCGGCCGCGACGCCCAAGGCCAAGGCGGAGTCGAAACCGCACAGCCAGGAGACCGCCACTAACACGCACAGTCGGGGCACCGAAAAAGGAACCCCTGTCGAGTGGGATGGGCTTGGTGTTCCTTGATTGTGTTACATCAGTGAAGGTACATTTGCCCAAGGTTTTCCACGGACGGAACCGTCAGTCTATTTGCAACAGACGCGGGAAGGTTTGCCCTCCCATGCGCAGCTTTACCCGCTAGTACTTGGCCAAAGGTTTCGGCGCCCGGCATGGGTCGCGACGGGAGGCCCAGCACCGCTCGGGAACGCGAGGAAGAGGCGGAGTGGAATGGGAGAGCTGGGTCATCCAAGACATGGAGATTGCTGGCATCAGCGCCCTCAGCGCAATGCCGGAGCGGACCGTCTTGACCCGCCGCATGGACCATGCCCGCGATCTTGTCTCCCTCGAGGATGCCCCCGGCGACCAGGTGGCAGTCCTCGTTTTGGATGTCCCAGTCGCGTTGGCGCCAGCGGCCGCTCCATTCGCCAGGGCGTTGCGGTCCGCTCTCGGGGGCGCCGCCCCGGCCATCGCCTCCGGGCGCCCCGAGGCCCCTCCCCCGGGCAGGTAGCCGCCTGGCGCTTCATCGCGGCCGCGGGATGGTCCAACGCCCTGGTCCTGGTATCTTCAGCGACGGCCAAGGGCGCGCCCCGCCGGGGGCGTTGTTCCCGCTGTTGCGAATCGTCCGCAAGCCGACAGATCTGGAGACCTTCGGCAGGTCCCGGCACGACGTGGAATTCGACGCCACTCCGCGGGGCGGCGGCGCAGTCCGCGCGGGTGGCATCCAGGCGGCAGGGTGCTTGACTGTGGCCTGGGGCTCGGACGTGCTCACGTATGTGTGATGCAGTCGTCAAGGATTCGAGGTGGCAGAATTTGCGGGAGTTTCTCGCGCTCTTGCTAACTTTGATCATTCGGAGGCACCGCGCCGAGCATGAGGTCCTCATTTTGCTCGGCGACAGCACTGCTGCACCGCGGCGCGCCATTCCCTGCGGGGGCGCGGGCAGATGCTGCTTAGGTACGGAGGGAGGTCAAGTGGCCGTTATTCTTTTATTGCCACCACTTACCGAAGAGAGCGATGTCACGGCAGGTGTTCTGAGTAGATTGGCCGTGGCCTTTTTTTTGCACGGCGCCCGCGTCATTGCTCACCGTGCTGCGGGCGGCCGCATCCCCGTGGGACACGTTGTACTTAGCGTGGGCACCACGAGTGTAGTTGCATTCGTTATGTCGCTCGCGGCACCGAAGGTGACGATAGTTCCACCCGCGATCAGGCGCGCGCTATCATCGCGCGCGTGCAGACCCACCATATATTCTTTATCCCTGTCATGTCATTGTCTGGATCATCGCGGGGGAGGAGTCATTGGCAGGCCCCCGCCGCAGGGTCCGCACATCGGCGCGGGGCTTCTCTAGTCGTCCCGTCCCTCTGTTTTCCATTCTTGCTCGTTTTTCTCCCCTCCCTCCTCTCCTCCTCGTCTTTGTCTTTCGTCGTCGTCCTTGTCCTCGTTCTCGCCATCCTCCTCCTGCTCCTGTCCTCCACCTCCCTCGCGAGGGGTGTTCCTTCATTCCCGCAGGTGCGACGAGGCGAATAACCGTCCGAATTTCCGCCCCAAACAGATAACACAGGAGCAGAGTCTGCAAACAAGCCCTGCCCCCCCCCCCGTGCGATATTTTTTCCGCGATGCAGACTCAGGCCACACTTCGTCTTCCGGCGGGCCCTGCAGCCAAGGCGCCTGCCCGCCCTGGCCCCCCGCCCTTCGCGGCGTCGCCACGTGGCCGGATCGCCATTCTGGCGCGGGCGCCCCAGATCTTGTCGTCGCCGTTGTTCCCAGACCGCCACGGTCCGCCGTGCTCCAAACAAGGCAAGGCGGCCTCCATCCAAGCTGCCGCGTCGCCCCTGGACGATCCAATTGTGTCCGCAGAGGGCTCCCAGTTGCGGGGAGGACATTCGTTGCGCACTGGGGGGGCTTAGGGTCTGGCGCGCGCCGGGTTGTGCACCTGGGCTTTACAGCTACTGGGGGGATGGGGCAGCGAGGCCGTGATGGGCTACATCCCGGATGCGCCCCTGGCTTCGTTGTCGGCACGGGCGCCAGCCGTTGCGTCTGGGTTTCCCGCGGCAGCTTCGGCAGCGGTGCCAGGTGTGTGCGCCCGTGACCCGGGTGCAGTCCACGCTGAAGAGCGGGGTCACTGGCGCGCGCCGGGGGCTCTGCGTCCCCCGGGCCCCGTGGGTCTCCGAACCTCGAGGAGTGCAAGCAGCGTCGTCGCCCCCGCTGTAGAGGATCTGCAGATCATGAATCATGGCTGGCAAGTTTGACGGTCTTCCCATCGATGTGCAGGAATTGAAGCACGCGCTGGCGGCGAAGATTTCGCGGACTTCGGCCACCGCGCATTAGCCTCGCGCTTCGCGTACGGGCGGCGCGGCCCAGCCGGACAGCGGGGCCGGCGCCGTTGTCCGCAGCTCGGATTCCGCGCCGCGTGCGCAGTTCATCGCGAGCACCAGAAGCGGGATGACACACGTTGCCTGGGGCTTGGGTTCTGTGAAAGCGAGGGCGCGTCGTTCTCCGGCATTGTGCAGTGTCTCTGAAGCTTCGCGGAGCGCCGCGCGTCAGGTTTGATGCTCTCCCGCTACCGCTGCGCGACGTCCTGTGCGAGCGGTCTGGTCCGGAGTTTTGGTGTCATCGCAAACGCCGTCACAGCGCGCAGGCCGACGCTACCGAGGCAGGTCGACTTGGCGCGGCTGATGTGTCAAGGCTCCCTGAACAGCGTTTTCGTCTGCGCACGAGGAAGGCTTTTGACCCCGCAGTCTGCGGCGTCCTCACAGGGGGCACGGGGGGGACAGATCAGGCAGCGGACGTGCTGGGATCGGCTGAAAGTCGAATGCAACATGTGTCTTGCATCGCGATTCGTGGGGGCGGGGCGGGGTGCCATCGTTGAGCCTTGGCTCCAATTGCCGCGCTACTCGTGGCCATGTGGGGTCGAGCGCCAGCCCGGCAAATCTACAGGCAGCGGCCCCCCATCCGAACGCACCTTGTTGTCGAGGCGCTGGCGCGGCTGACGCGCCAAGGCCCGCCTGACCAGCGTTTTCGCTCGCGCGCGAAAAAGGTTTCTGACCCAACAGTCTGTAGGGTCCTCACAAAGGGGAGCAATGAGCAGGCAGCGAATATGTTTGTCGAAATCGCCTCCCTTGTGCGCTCTTGGGATTGTTTCGGAGGCCTGTGGAACCCCTCTTGGAGCTCACTCGGGCAATCTTGGGGCCATCCTGTTGCCTCGAGAGCGTGTCGGAAGAGAAACGGCGAGAAAGTATTTAGAGGATTGTGGCTTTTTAGGGGGTCTGGAGGATATCCCAAGCACTTGGAGCCGTTCTGTGCCTTCCTTTAGGCCCCCTTGGAGGCATGCCGGAAACTATGTAGAACAATCTTCGGCTATCTTGAGACGCCCCGGAGGCCTTCTAGGAACCACGGTGGTCGAAAACGGGCCCCCTGGCACCTCGCAGAATCCCAGAAAAAAACACAAGAGGAGGGGGAGGGCACCCTTCTCCGAAGGGATGGGTTTTGGAAGAGGAATGCAAAATACCCTTAGACCACCTACGCCCAAAATTGCGGGGGGAATTATCAAGCTGAGTCATCTGGAAGTTAAGTTTCAGCCACCACTCGACACGCTGTGTCGAGTCACTTGGCATATCCTGCTTTAGCATATGGTGATCACCCCCAGAAGGGGGGAGGGTCCTTCCCTCATTTTGAAGACTTGCGGGCGCCTCGGCGCCACCGCCTTTCCCCGCGCAGGGCTGTTCTGTAGGACGGCACGGGCGCAGTGCCCAGACTACCAGGGAGCGACTTCAGATGTCAACGATGATTCGCAGGTTTGCTCGGGATGTTACTTTCCTGCCCCGTGGCGCGTGCTCTCGCCACCTCCTTTCCTCCGCCTCGACCCCATCGAGGTTTCCTCCGCCTCCTCCCTCCGTCCCTCCTTCCTCCCGCTCCTCCAGCTCGCTCGCTCCTCCCCCCCTGCTCCCTCGTCGGGCGTGGGGCGGGCGGGGGGGACTGCAGGGGCAGGCCCAGGGATTCTGGCCCTGCGAAGGTCTCCGGGGCGAAGTACGCGACCATGAGGAAGACCGACGCCTCGACCTACATCATGACGCGGGGCACCGGCACGCTGATGGTTTTCAGCGGCCGTCTCGCGAAACACGAGCTGCATGTGTGCTGCGCCACGGGCCAGACGGTGGCCAAGGCGAGCCCTGGCAACACCGAGGGCATGTACGAAGTGGTGGTCTACACCAACACGGATGCGGGGCTGATCATCCTCGGCCTGCTCGCGATCGACAAGTGCGAGGTGGCGCAGGTGGAGTAGCTTTCCTGCTGGCACGGCCTCCCTGGTGGCAGCCCTTCACCCATGAGGCCTCCGTGGCCGTGGCAGGGGTTCACAGGGTGCCCCCGAGGACAGTGACACCTGGCATTCGACGACGCTGCCACGGCCCAATTAGTGGAACGACAAACGACATAATCATAAGAACTCGGAGGTCCGCGAGGATTTCTCGGATCGGCGCTCTCCCCCCCCCTCCCTGGCGCGCGGAGCGCGCCAGGGGCGGTGCCGGAGGCGCCGCCAGGGGCCCCAGCGCCGATCCGAGCAAGCCGCGCGGACCTCCGAGTTTTGACGTTCATGTCATTTTTCAGGGGGGACCTAAACGGTGTTTTGGCGATTCCGTGGGCCGTTTTCATTTCGAGTTCGTTTTGCGTTGAAGGCGTATTGAAGACAAAAAGAGGGAAAACGAAAACAACACGAAAACGAAAAACATCGTTTAGGTTCCGCCCTGTCATTTTTCGTTCCCCTGCCATGGCCTGGTGGCTCGGTGGCCCCGTGGCCTCGCGTCTTCGGCGACGGCGTTGCTTCTCGGGCTGCCCGGACGGCGCCCACGAGGGGCGGCCCTCGGGGCAGGCGCCCCAGGCGAGGCGAGAGGGCCAGAGGGGCGGGCGCCATGTTCTTACGTCGGGCATGGCCCTCTACAGCAGGATTTCTCGAAGACAGGCAACATATAGTCGGGCCACGATGTGTTTGAGTATGTCTGAACATGTTTGATTGTGGTTTGCCCATGCTTGGTTTCTCCTAGTATGTTATGCTTTGTTTTTCAAAACAAAAGTTGTTTGTTTGTGTTTCCTCCTAGTATGGGGACGATTTGGTTGAGTATGTTTGCGCCCGCTTGACCTTTTTGTTTGCCTAGGTTTTATTATTCGTCCACTATGCCCCGGTAGGAGGACATGCCCGACCTAACCCTATTCGGCATGGAGGAGTTATCAGAAACAGTTTTTCCAGCATGGAGGAATTGACAAACACAGTTTCAAAACATACATAGTGTCAGGACGATGTGTGTTGAGTATGTTTGAGCATGTTCGATTATGTTTTGCCTAGGTGTTTGGCTTCCTTCCAAATCCCCCGGTAGGAGGACATGCCCGACCTAATCCTATTCAGCATGGAGGAATTCTCAAAAACAGTTCTGACAGCACAAACAAAAACACATCTCGTCTCAGGACGATGTGAGTGTTGGGTGTGTCTGAGCATGGTTGATTAGATGTGTTGCCTGTGTGCTTTCTCTCGTCCCAAATCCCCCGGCAGGAGGACCTGCCCGACCTGTCCCCTCCTCGGCACGGCGGGGGAGGAGGGAGCCCCGGAGGCCTTGGGTCCTCTTGAGGTGCTCCCCGTGCTCGGGCGGCCGCGGGGGCCGTCGGGGGCCCCGCGGCGCGCCCCCTGGCTCGCCGCCCAGTCCAGAGATGTGTGCTCGGGTGCAAACGTTCGGGTGCAACGATAGGGGGGGGGGGACGCACAAAGGGGGGGCAGCGCATCGGCCTCCAGTCGTCGGAGGTCCCTCGGCCTCCTGCCCGGACACGTCGATTGGCGAATCGGCCGTTTTCGGTTCGCGAGGGGGCGTCGCGGCCGTCATTTTGGCGGGTTCAGGCCCGTCGGTTTCGGTTTTTTGCGGGTTTCACTACATGGAGGTTTACTCAAGGGAGGTGTGCCCACCGCCGGGGGAAGCCGTCCAGAGATATGCTCGGGTGCAACGATCGGGGGGGGGTAGGCATAGGGGGGTAGCATCGGCCTCCAGTCGCCCATTGATCGCCGATAGGGGCCCGATCGCCCCAGTCTGCCCAGGAACGTGCGGATTCACTATCGGGGGCCTATCGCCGATCGATCGGCGATGTATCGCCGATTCCAGGTCGATGCCTCCCCCCTATGCCTATCCCCCCTGTGGTTACCCTTCAAAACTCTGACTTTGCAGTCTGGCCGAATCGGGTTTCATCCCGCTCGATCTGGCTTCTTCCCACCGGATCCCGTTTAATCCGCGGCCTATTCCCCCATCGGGGCTTGATTCTCCGTAATCCTTCCGAAAAGATGGAAAAGTGAGGGAACGAACAATGACATGAACATAAAAACTCGGAGGTCCGCGCGGGTTGCTCGGATCAGCGCTGGGGTCTCTTCAGCGGCGCCTCCGGCGCCGCCCCTGGCGCGCTCCGCGTGCCGGGGAGGGGGTTTCAGCGCGGATCCAAGAAGCCCGCGCGGACTTCCGAGTGTTTTTGAGTCTGTCACATTTCCGTTGCCCTAAAAGAGCCCCTAGGCCCGGGATGCGTTTCCACCAGGACCCTTTTCCTTCATGCCAGCATGTCCTCCGCAGCCTCCAGTGCTTCGCTGTCCAGCCTGCCGTCAGTGCCACGGGGGGCACACGCTTGCGCGCGCGCCTTCAGTCTAGTGGTGCAGGGGCGGGGGACGGGAGTAGCTGCTGAGCGAGCGACCGAGTTGCAGCAGGGGGCACCAGTCAAGGGACCAATCGGGGCACGGAGTAGTGTTATGTGCAGCTCGCTCAGTGGCTATGGATAAGCCTTTCGCTGCATAGCAAACGAAAGTGGACGCAGCGCGAGCCGATTCTGAAAGCCATTTCTGTAAGTATAGTCGCCGAGGGGAGCAACATGCAAGTTGAAGCCACGCTCAAACTGGGAAGCGTTCCAGCGTGGACTCGAAACTGTGAATTGGCACATATCATGTAATTCGAGTTTTGTGACCCATGTGGCGCACTGCAATGCAATGCAGCCCAAAGCATTGAAGCACCCCTTAAAGCGACGCAGAGCAAAGCGAGTAAGGTGGTGCTATCTTGCGAGACCCCTTGGGCAGGACCCTACCTGTGGGCAGGGTCCTGTGACACTCCAGATTTATTGCTGGCGCAGGAAACAGAATCATGGGAGAGACTCTACGGGACATTGTGGGCGGGACATGATGGTGCCCCACATTCCCGTCTGTGCAAGGGGTCCAATGGTAGGGACCCTATGGTACCCCCTCGGCGGGACCCTGTGTCACCGAACAGTTCCCGCTGGCGCAATGGACTAAAGGTGGGCGGGCTCCCAATTGGACTAGTTATCAAGGTGAACCCAAGCGCAACGTAAGTCGCACGAGTCGCCCGGTGGATCGGAGGTACCGATGGATCGGAGATTGCATGGGACTGGTCGGAGTGCCAGCAGCGGTGCCGTACGACGCAGCCGGTGTACCTCTTAGTCGAATTCGTTTGTCTGCTCGCGGCGGGGCGAGCCCGTGGCGGACGTGCCTGGGTGAGCGAGCGGGCGTGTTGAGCTGCATGTCTCAAGCAGTGGCGAAGCGTCCTGGCGTGCCTATAGCCCCGCCAAAGAATGTTCTCAGAACCTGTCGTGGTTCCCACGAAATGTTCTTAGAGCATTTCTGGTTGATATTGCTTTGCTTTAGCACATTGGGTCTATGTAGCACATTGGGTCTATGTTCTAAGAACGTTATTTTTGTTCTCAGAACATTTTGGGGTTCTAAGAACATTTCGTGGTAGGACTATAGGAATGCCGGGACGGTCGGTCCCTGCTCAAATATCTCAAATGGCTGTGGACACGCCCCTGGCGGGCCATCGTGGCAATATACGATTGTGTTTTTTTCAGTTGTTTTCAACTCCAACTTGCCGCAGGCTCGATCTGGACGCGATCCCTGACTGACGTGCGCGTTTGCTCTTCTCCCACGAGCCCCTGGGATGGGCACACGCGCACGAGTCGGCGCAGGCGACCGAGCCTGCGCCAGTGCATGTCGCCCGTGTCCCAGGTGCTTGGGCCCTGCATCGGACGATGGACCGGTGAGGCATCGGCGGTCCTCCTCCTCCTCCTCCTCCTCCTCCCTTTTTGTTTCCTTCCCTCCTCTCTCTCTCACTCTCTCTCTTTCTTTGTGATATATGTGTGTAGATCTCCCTCCTCATCTCCCTGCCCGTCGGGGAAGGCCGACGATTTCTCAGCTTGCCTTCGTCCGATTGCAGAAGCAGGCGGCGCGGATGCGTGCAAGGTGCGAGCAGCCCTGCCTGCCTGCGTGCCTCGTCGTGGCAGGTAGGACTGGGCAGTCCTGGTTTCACGCGCCCGTCGCTGCAGATCCCCTCCGTTTGCCCTCCGATGCATGCCAATCCTCGTCACGGTCTTAATCCCCATCATGTTCTCAGAGTTGTATTTTGCTTATCTTTCTCCCTCCCCCCAACTTCTTCCCATCCTCCTCCTGCTCCTCCGAATCATTCATCATCATCATCATCATCATCATCATCATCATCATCATCATCATCATCATCATCATCATCATCATCATCATCATCATCATCATCACATCACCATCACCATCACCATCACCATCACCATCACCATCACCATCATCATCATCATCATCATCATCATCAACATCATCACCATCATCATCATCATCATCATCATCATTATCATCATCATCATCATCATCATCATCATTATCATCAAAGCCATCTACCTCAGGCCTTTGAGGAACGTGGTTTTGCGAGTTAATGCGTTTTCTCGCCCCATCGTGCCCATGTTCGCTAGCCATGGATGTGCACCCCGCTGGCCAGTGTATTCCGGAACGCTCATCTGCTTGATGGCATACTGCCCCACGATGCGCCTTTCTTCTTCGGCACGGCGGCGCATCCGGCGTGCAGCGTGCAGTCGGCGCTGGATGGCTAGCGCGATCATGAGGATGTTGGAGCCCCCGCCCCCGTACTCGCGCGAGGCGCTCTTACGGGCGCGTCCCTGCCATTCTCGTGGTCTTGCCTTGCGACCCACTCCGGAGATTGATCTTGCCGACCACGGCCCGCGGGTGGTCCGCGCGGCCTGCACGCCTGGTCAGTGTGAAGGTCCACGCCCTGACGATGGTTCAACGTCTGTAGTGGCCCCCGTGGCCCCGGTTGATTCGTCACCCACTTCGCTTTCTGCGTCTTCGAGGGCGTCGGCCAGTCTGTCAATTTCTTCTTCGCCATGTTCACGCACGTGTCGGTGGACGTCGAGACGACGCCATGTCACTATTTCGGTTTCTTCGAGGGCTCCCGCCTGTCAGTCGCTTTCCACCTCGCCTTGGTCACGGGTCTCCCGATGGCCCTTGCGACGCCGAGGCGGGGGTCGAGCCCATCTGGAGAACGTCGACCCGTCCTATCGGCCGAACGAGGAGGTATACCCGTCCGACACACTGGCGGACTTAGAGTCTAACGTTTTCGACTTGCTGGACGACCTCGGCTCGGTCACCACGGACTCCTTCGTTGAGAGTTTCCTTGAAAGGTATGCCGACGACTATCCAGAAGTACTCGACTTCCCCCCCACGTACCACATCCCCTTCCGAGTTGTAGTGAATCAGGTGATATACGCAATGCTGCACGAAGGCATTGTTCAGGAGTCGCACGGCATTCTGACAATGTCTTGTTCGGGTGCAGGCTGTGCTCTACGTGCACTTATTGTCGCGGCCTCACGTTTCTGAGGCTGTTCCGCGGTGGGCCCGATGCGAACGCCGAGGACGCCATCAGTGGCGTGCATCCCACCGCGGGCTGGCGGGCCCGATGCGTCCGCCGAGGACGTCATCAGGGGCGGGCGTCCCGCTAGCGCACGGCAGGCCCGATGCGGTTGCCGAGGGGTTGGGCCCCCGTGCAAGCATCCTGCTGTGCACCCTGTAACATTGCTTATTTCACGTTGTGGCCGTTGCAGATTCTGCAGCCCCTTTGCGCGTCCTTAGTGACATTTCATACAGTGGCTTTCTTTGACAGACTGCACATGCCAGGCTGTGCTGCCTGCGCGACCAGTGCTGCCATGGCTTTCACGTCGTCACTGACGGGCAGAGGGCTCGTTTGCTGTCCCACGCTTTTCTCTTCCCCATGAGCCTCGATCCTGTTAAAAAATCATCACCATCATCACCATCATCACCATCATCACCATCACCATTAGCAGCAGCATCAGCATCACTCTCATCGCCTCCTTCTCATTCTCGTCATCATCCTCATCGTTGTCGTTGTCGTCATCATCATCAACATCATCATACCCATCATCCTCACCATCATCATCATCATCATCAGCAGTATCATCATTATAGTCATATGTACCATGCTCATCATCATCAGCATCGTCACCAGCACCATCATAACCATCGTCATCATCATCACCACCAGCATCAACAACATTATTACCATCTTCCGCATCATCAGCATCGTATTTTGCAGACTCACCAGCCTGATTAACACAATCCTCACCATCATGCTCATCATCTGCATAACCATTACCATTTTCAGCAACGTCAACCTCGCCATCTTCAACAGCATCATCAGTAGCATCATCATCATGATCGTCATCGGCATCATCAACATCATCCTCAGTACCATCAGCATCAGCATCAACAGCAGCATCATCACCATCCCCATCACCATCACCATGACCCTCATTAGTATTAATATTACTATTGGTATGAGTGATCTGATTCTGCTCATGAGTATGGTCATGATTATTATCATCGTCGTCGTCGTCCTGATCCTCTTCGCCTCTTCCCATTTCCGCATACCCTCCCCCGCCCCCTGTTTCTCCTCCCCTTGTCACTCTTCTCGTGCTTACTCCCCCTCGTCCGCCCCACGTTCCTCCGCCTCCACTCCTCTTCTTCCCTACCTTCTCCCATCCCAGACCCCACCCTTATCCTGCCTTATTTTTGTTCCTTCCTGGTATCAGTAAAACCCTCCGCAATATCCCCATAATGCCGTGAAGCCTTCCGAATCTCTTTTCAAATTCCGTAGAACACCCCATCCCCCCTTCCCCTCGCCATCCTCCCCCCCTCGCTTCCACCACTCTTGGTCGCCACATCACTGTGATCAGGAATGACGCTGCTCCGAGTCGTGGGGCAGTCGTCCAGCGAGGCCGTACTGCAGGACTGCCGTCTTTACGCGAGGAGAAGGAGGACATCAAGGACGAGGACGAGAAGGAGCGTTTGATGTTAAGTGTGATCTACTCGTTGTTTTGAAGCCTCCTGGGTGGGGGCTGGGGCCTCTGCTAAATTTCTGAAACCGCATCGATGCCGTTGTCAACGTGTTGCAGCACACGTCCCCGTGCGCGTGGGTGGTGGAGGGGCATGGAGAGGACCAGGAGGAGGAGGAGGAGGAGGAGGAGGAGGAAGAGGAGGAGGATGACGCGTTCGAACATGGCGACTAGGCCAACGAGGCCGAGGGAGGAGGAAGAGGAGGAGGAGAAGGGGAAGTAGGAGGAGGGCACAGGGCCTCATGCTGGCGGGCGCGCCATTGGCCACGCCTCCGCCAACCGACCTTCCGGACGCAGGAGACGAGCGCCGGGTTGCCCTCGGGACGACGGGCTACGCCGCGGAACGCGGCGCCGGAGTGGCGAGGCGCGCGGCCGCCCTCCTCGGGAAGCTGGCGGGATTGCCCGAGGAGGGTTCGCCGCATCTGCCCGCGAGACAGGCGGCCTTGCTGCTCTTGCGACAATGCGGCACCGGCAAACTGGCGCACCTCCTCCCGACCACGCCGCCGACGAGCACGGCGGCCGCCGCGGCCAGCTAGGGCCTAGGACGAGGCGCCTCACGCTGCCTGCAGGCAGCTGCTCCAGTTCGACCCGCTCGCAGGGCCGCAGCGAGGGGTTTGCAGACCACCGCTGCGGCGGCTGGGGGATCCGCAGCCAGGAGCGGTTAGCGCCGGCAGCCTGGGCGGGCTCCTGGGCCCAGAACTTCGCGGAGGTGCGGGCCCGCACCGATTTGGCGGCAGTCGACGACCTGGAGAAGGCTGAGCAAACCCTGGCCGCAGCTTGCCGGGCCCCCCGCCTCCTGCTGCAGCCACAACCGCAGGCTGGCGACGGGTCGCAGGGGCGACGGGCTGGGCAACGAGGTCGGCGCCCTCCGCGTCGAGCCACCCTCTCCCACGACCCTCGTGCAACAAAAACGTTCACGCGTAGGCTCGACCAGAGAAACTATTCAGCCTCGCGGAGCGCCTGCGCCAGCGAGGGAAAGGCGAGGCTGGGGCTCCTGCGGCGGACCGCACGCGGCCGCCTGGCACAGGCTGCGCCGGGTGCGGAGGGGCAGAGACTGAACGACGCTAAGTTTTGCCTGACAGCGCACGCTCTTGTAGGCCAAGACTTGGCGCCGCCAGGCCAAGACATGGCGCCGCCCCACACTTTCTGCGGTAACCGCGCCCGCGCAGGCCCGCGCGCAGGCCGGGTCTGGGAGGAACGCCTCTGCTGCAAAGCGCACTATTCGCGGCGGCGCAAACCTGCGCGACGGCGACGTCGAGGACGCGTGGCAGCGCATTCACAACGAGTGCAGCTACCGCACGGCCATGCAAGTCCCTGTCCCCCGCTGGGATCTGTGGACCTGGCGAGATAGAGTCGCAGCGTATCGGCTGCCCGCGGCTGTTCGTAGATGTGATAGTCCGGTACGCCGCGCCGGGCGACGAGGCGGGCTTGGCCGCGGCTGCTGGCCGCGACGGCGCCGCGGCAGCAGCAGCAGCAGCAGCAGCAGCAGCAGCAGAAGCAGCAGCAGCAGCAGCAGCAGCAGCAGCAGCAGAGGCCGACAAGAGGCGGCGGTACCCAGTGGGTCGCAGCCCTTGGCGGGTGCTTCCTTTGCCGACAAGGCCGCCTTACGCCAGCTCCGCCAGTTGGTGCGCGACCAGGCGCAAATGGCCGAGGAGGACATGGCCGAGGCGGTCCGCGGCGCCCTATGCCAGCGCTGGGGTTCGGAGGTGCCTGGGGCGTCGCACAGAACCACGGTCGGGCAGCTCCGCCGCAGCGTAGGCTGCCGTGAAGACATGGCCGCCTGGCGCGAGGCGGGAGCGGGTTGAGCCTGCCATTTGTGCAAAGTGCCGCGCTTTGCGGGACCAAGCTCAGGACCCCCCCCCAGAATGCCAGCGGGTCCGCCATGTTTGCGTTACGCACTCGGCGCACGAGGAGGAGGAGGAGGAGGAGGAGAAGGAGGAGGACGAGGACGAGGAGGAGGAGGAGGAGGAACATGCGGAAGAGATGGTGGGAAAGGACGGCTACGGAGTGGGGAGGATGTGGAAGAGACGGTGTAGTCGGAGGAAAAATGTTGTTACATGTTTTCTGTTGCGCTGAGAGGGGTATCATTGATATGTCGGTTGGTTCCTTGATGGTTTGGGAAGGGTCTGTTGGATGTGACGGGTGGCGTTCTATCGATTTTTTTCACGTTTCGCGTATGCCATCAGCCCAGAAGCCTTACCAATGAGAGCTGACGGGGACAAGCGGTTCAGAGACACAGATATCTTGAAACATAGCGGGCCAGCGGGGTGAACAGAGATATGTTTAATGAGCTGGGGTGTGGATTTGCAGGGCCTCTCGAAGCCATGGAGGGCCTCTTGGGGCCATCTTGGAGGCCATCGGTCGGTCAGCTGAGGGGGTTCCTCGGTTCCTCCCTCCCCCCCCCCTCAGGTCATCAAAATCGTGTTTTGGAGCGCTCAAAGGCCCTCTTGGGGCGCATTTAGGACCATATGAGGGCCATAAGGGGGCCTCTCTCGGGCCCCTCTTCGGCCTCGTTTAGGCCATCTTGGCGCCCTTTCGAAGATTCAAAAGCGCACTGGAAGCGAATAGGCGAGAAGTCAACAATCAATGATGTTGGCTTGTTGGACGGGTCCTGCGGTGGTTCGGGGAGCACTTGGAGCTGTTTTGTGGCTCTCGTCGGGCCTCCTGGAAGTATGCCCATCTTGGAACATCGGAGGCCCTCATGGAGCCATCTTGGGCGCCCTGACCGATCGCGGCCGCCCCAAAAAAACTTCAGGGAGGAGAGAGGGTAAACCTCCCAGAACGGAAGAGGTTGCTTGGAAAAGGAAAAAACTCACTAGATCACTTTAGCCCAAATGGCTGGTAGGGTTTGCTTGCGGGGGGGGCTCTGAGGTTCCGGATGGATTTCCAGGGGGCGAGGGGGAGATCTCGATGGCCCTTCCCCTCTCCTTCCCCTGCCTCCCGCATCCCTTCCCCTGTCCTCCCCGTCCTCCCCCCCTCCCCTCTGCCTCCCACTCCATGCCAAACCAGTCGAATCTCTCATATCCTGTCCTCGTTTCTCCCCTGCTGTCGTCTCCCCATTTCCTCCCTCCCTCCTCCGTCCTGGTGGTGGAGCAGCGGCAGGAGAGGCTGAGGGATGAGGATGTGGGGAAGTGGGAGGGGAGGTCGAGGTGGGAGGAGGGGAGGAGGGGGATAATTGAGGAGGTCGAAGGAGGAGGGGGAGGAGGGGGAGGCCGAGGTGACAGGAGGGGGAGGAGGGGAAGGGGCGCGAGAGCGGAGGAGGGCCGACGAGGGCGCAGGAGGATGGATGAGGGAGAGGGGGAGCGCAAGCGAAGTAAATGGGCGGGGGGGGAGAAGAGGAGGACCAGGAGGAGGATGCGGCAATACTTCTGTCCATATCCACTGCTGTTTCGGGCTCCTTTCCCCAGACACCCGAGGCGCACTGGATATGTATAAAAATCTGCCGCCTGGGGGCTCGAATTTTATCCATATACAGTGCGCCTCGGCCTCGTGGCGCCCCTTCCGAGAAAGTCCAGGAAGCATTGGATATGGATATACATCTTGCCCGCAGAGGTTGCGGCGAAGGAGTACGGCGGAGTGGCCAAACGTGGGGGGTGCATGAAGTATTCAGTGCCCTGCTCTTGTCGGCCAGATTCAGAAGCAGCACCAGGGACGAGGCAGAGGAGGAAGGATGAGGGGGGACGAGGACGAGGGACGAGGGCGACGACGACAGAAGGAACAGGTAGCAGGAGGAGCAGCCGTGGCGGCCGCGGTACCTGGGCGGAGAAGCAGCTGGAGGAGGGGGCGGCGGCAACGAGAGCGGCAGCAGGAGGAGAGGGCGCGGGATCGGGAGCGGGAGAGCTGGCGGCAGAAGCGGCGGCAGCGGCAGCCGGGCTGGAGAAGCGGCCAGGGGCAGGAGCCGGAGCACGACCCCACAGAACCTCCTCTACCGACTCCAGATGCCCCAAGCTCAATCGAGCTTCCCTGTACTCAAAGCATCCCCCGGGTCGTCCTCGTCCTCATAGGTCCACGCGTGTGTAGAGGCACACACGCGTGCACTGTTCACTGTGGCGTCTCCCCTGGAAAATAAGTTTGTTCCTCTTTTATTACGCTTGTTCATCCTCGTGCCTTCTCTTTCCTCCCTCCCTCCCTCCATCTCCTCCGCATCCTCCTCCCCATCCTCCCCCCCCCTTCCCTCTCCCCTCCTTCCGTAGCCATTTTTGGCTCAAGGTGCTGGTTCTGCCAGCGCTGGGTCTGCGGCGCGCCTGTCCGGCATTTCTTCTTCCCTGCAATGGAGGCCGCCTTCGGGGCCAAGGCGCAGCGCCTCTACCTGCTCAGGGATGGGCTCCTCGACGCCATCGAGGTCCGCACGGGCCGTGTCTTCGAGGGCCTCACCGTGGCTGCGCGCGCTGCGCGTGCCGCGGGCATCATCGATCGCCGCATGGACAAAGCCGCCGAGCGGATCGACATCTCGTACCACATGGTCCGACACCTTTCGGCGCAGCGGTACGAGGACACCCTGCTCGAGTTCCACACTGCGTGCAAGGCGATGGTGCCGCTCGGCTCTTGCGCTGCCGGTGGACCTCAAGATCAGGGGCAAGAGAAACATGCCGATGATGTACCTGATGATCCTCCCGTTCGCGCTGGCGGTGTGGAGCTCGCTGCGGTCGCCTCTACCCCGAGAGTTGCTTCAGCGACTATGGCCTCCTCTACCCCACCGTCGGTTACGGCGTCACAGGCTTTTTCGGCGCGCTCCTTTCCTGTCATCCTTCCTGCTTCGTCGACGACGGCTGCGAAGGCTTCGCGTCCGTCGACCAGGCTGACTGCGCTGAGGTCCGCAGATCCTTCTACGCTGGCTTCGGGAGCTGGGAGGTCCACACTGCGAACCGCTTCAACCACCAGCGCTGCTATAGAGGTTTCGTCTACGGCCAAGCCTTCTATGCCCCGCAGGTGTGCTCCGACTTCTGGCATCCTTCCGGCCTCGTCGACTACGGTTTCGATTGTCCCGTGTCCGACGACCAGGCTGTCTGCACCGAGGTCCGCAGTACCCTCTACGCTGGCCTCAGCGGTTCACCAAGACGATCGTGCGCTGCATCGTGGATGCCGTCCTCCTCGGCTGTCTCGCGAAGCTCCCATGGCCCAGGCGGACGCCACCCGTGCCAGCGCAGCTGCCCTGCTGAAGGAATTGGATGATGAGGATGAGGCTGAGGGCATGGGCTACATCTGAGGACCTTGGCCTTCCTCCTCTCTTCCATTTTTCCCTTCCGCGGTCAGCGATCTTCCTCTCCTCCATCCCCGCCCGCCTGTCTATGCGTGCGTAGTTGGTTGGGGGAGGAGGTGTGAGATGATTGGAGGTGGAGGAGTATGTAATTCCACTATGCAGAACCTTTGCAGGGCTGTTCCAGAGCAATTGATGCACCTCTCAACCAGGAGGTGCGTGATGTAGTGGAGCACCCTTCGGGCCCCCGTGGTTCTCGTGCCCCGTTTTCTTCGGTCGGGCCCCTCGCTCGGCGTTGTCTGGGTCCTGGGTTTCCGTCCCTCGCTTCTTTCGGCCCCTTCCTCGGGCCCCTCGCTCGTCGTTTCGGCGCCGCGGGCAGGAGTGTTCGGCTGACGATCACCCGCGAGCAAATAATTATATATATACATATGTTATATATATATAT